CAGAGCGCGGGGCTCGCCGCTCTCCCCCCGGCGGCCAGAGCGCCGGGAGCAGGGCGGCCGGAGCCCTGGGGGGAGGGCGGCGAGCCCCGGCTGGGGCTCGGCTCGGCTCTCCCCCCCCCGGCGGCCAGAGCGCCGCGCCGCCGCCCCCCTCCAGGTGCCGCCCCAAACACCAGCTTGGGTGCTTGGTGCCTGGAGCCGGCCCTGCCTACGCCCCCCGCTCCATTTTGGAACTGGGGCATGGAGATGTAACTTGTAATGACCTCCTGGGTGGGTCTTGTCTCCCTGCCTTACCTTTCCTCTGTAGAGTCTCCTTCCCGAACTCTAGAGCACTCCTTAGCCAGGAAATACATGTCTCCTCCTGGAAGTGTTTCCATCCCTGGATATCATCTACTTCAGCATGCCATCTCCTCTTGGTGATCTGAGCCCCAATATCTGCTGCTACCCAAGTCATGGTCTCCTTATCGAAGGTAAGAAAGTCTCGTCCGTCATATGAATCCTGGTAAAACGCCTGAATGGTGCTGTCTTCCCGGAGATCACAGCCGAATATCGTCTGGATAATGTGAAACCCTGAAACACAGCTGAGGGTCAGCAGCAGCCTCTCTCTGAAAATCTCACCAAGACCCCACTGCAGGTAGCCCAGTGGGTCCTCCCCTTGCTACTGGGCCCTCCCTCCCCTGGGATATGGGGTTCCCATTTATGCTGTTGGGTCCTACACCCTCCCAACTCCTTTCAGGTGGGAACCCACAGGGGGCGCCCTCTCCATATGTTGAGTCTTGTATACTAAAGACCCCCCACTGCAGAGAGCTCACAACCTTCAAGGAGTACCTCACTGCTGCTTGTTCTTGTATGTTCCCTGCAGGGGGTGCAGGGTGGCACACCAAAAAGGGAGTACTCCAGATATTGCAGGGGTCTATCCCCTCCAGCTCTCTTCTGCTCTCTGAGGATCTGCCCCAATTCTGGCAGTCAGGGTCATTCTGGACAAGAGAGTGAGTGCAGAGGGTCTGTACCCTACTCTCTCCTGCTCTGGTTATATTAATTTTGCAGGGTCACTTGGTCCCCCACCTCCGCTATACACAGTGCCCCCATGCCCCTGTGAGGAGGGGGTACAGTCTGTCCCCCACACTAACCTCTGCTCTGGTTTAATGACCTCACAGAATCCCCACGGTCAATCTGTTTCCCTGCCCCATCTTCCCTGTGCCCCCAACTCAATCTAGGAACGGCAAAGAACCAACTTCAGATGCTTGGCCTCTTTTTCACATGGCCACTGTCTCAAGGTGATTCCCTATAAGGATCAGGCCACTGACGGCCCTTAGTTCAGCTGGCCACCATTTTCCTACAGCCAGGCTAATCTTCACAACGACCCCCATCTCGCACACAACCAAAAGCAGACTCAGTTAATACAGCCACCCCTGGGCTGATAGGAGGCAGGGAGGGAGACTAGGGGGGAAGGGAGGGGGATGGGGACAGGAAGGAAAATTTAGGGGACAGGTAGGGAGGTTGTGGTGAACAGAGAACACTGTGGGGATCATGAGGAAGACTGAAAAGTGCAGAGAACAGATCAGACCCCTAGCTTGGCAAACAGGGCAGAATGTGGGGGCACAAAAATAACCCACACAGGCTCCCAAATATTTTCACCCCTCCCTCACCCTGCATTCGATACAGCGAGGTAAATGCCTAGATTTTCAGCAATCACTAGTGATTTTGGGTGCCCAACTGAGACCTTTTAAGGGGACCTGATCAGAAAGTGGGAGTATCTGGTGTCTGAATATCAGACACCCAAAAATCCCTAATCACATTTGGAAAAATGCAGTCTAGGGATTAAAATACAATTTGGTGTCCCAGACATAGATGAGAGTCAAGCCCACTAAGCTGTGTCCCTGAACTATGCCACAGGTTTGGACAAAAACCAGTTTCTAACCTTCCTGTAATGGTTGTTCTCAGAGATGTGTTGCACACGTTCATTCCACGCTAGGTGTGCGTGCCCCGCACAATCACTGGAAACTTTTCCCTCAGGAAAAACGCTGGCTCTACTACCTTCTGGTACCATGCGCTTATGTCACAGTGTGAGGGGACCAGTTGACCCCGCACTTTCTCAGTTCCTTCTTGTTGACAACTCCAATGAAGGAGGAGGACGGTGGCTCGTGGAATCGACATGTGCAACACATCTCAAATAACAACAATTACAGAAAGGTTAGTAATCATTTTTTCTTCAAATGCTTGCACACGTCCCTTCCACATTTGGTGACTCCCAAGCAGTACTGTAAGAGGCGGGCTCGGAGTTCATGGACACATGGATTACAACACTGCCCAATCAAACCCAGTGTCATCTCTAACTTGCTGGGTGATGGCATAGTTGGAAGAAAAAGTATGTACTGACGTCCAGGTCACTGCTCTGCAAATGTCCTGGATCAGGCTTGGGCTATGAACATCACTGAGGAAGCTTGTGCTCTCATAGAATTTGTACCCAGTTTTTTAAATATAAATATATGGAGATATTTCTACCGAGTCCAGTCCCCTGCCTTCACTAGCAGGACCAAGTACTGTCCCCTGACAGATTTTTGCCCCAGCTCCCTAAATGGTCCTCTCAAGGACTGAACTCACAACCCTGGGTTTAGCAGGCCTATGCTCAAACAACTGAGCTATCCCTCCCCCCACAACATACTAGTTGCTTATCTCTCTCTCAAACCTCGCAGCACATGTGAATGCACAATGTGATTCAGGATGAAATTCTCTGAATCTTTCATCCTATCAGCTACTGCCACAAAGAGCTGTGTGGATTTATGGATCGACTTTCTATATAGTCCTTTCTATATAGAACACCAGGGCACGCCTAATATCCAGGTATGGAGATGTCATTCCTCCCTATTCTTGTGCGACTTCGGGAAGAAAATGGGCAGGAAAATACTCTGATTACAATGAAACTCCAAGACTACCTTTGGGAGGAACATGGGGTGGGGGCAACGTTGTACCTTGTCGTTAAAGAACACTGTATACGGAGGTTTTGACATAAAAGCACTAATCTCCAAGACCCTCCTGACTGAGGTAATTGCTACCAGAAAGGTGACCTTCCAAGAAAGGGCCCAATGCCAGTGGCTTGAAGGAAGGCCCCGTGAGCTCTGACACAACCGGGTTTAAGTCCTCCAGGTGGATGGGTTCCCAGATTTGTAGGTATAGCCTTGTGCACAAAAGGAATCTGGGGGAAAGGTGCAGAACAGGTGATTTCTCCAAGGGAGTAAGATGACATCTGTGAGTGAGCCCGGGTTGCAGACATGCAGACAGCAGAACTGCTGACATTTCCTGTTCTGTCTGGTTGTGAACAGGTCTATGAGGGGAGCACCCCGCCACTGGAAAATGGCCCTTGCTCTGTCGGGACATAGGGACCATTCGTGGTGAGAAGAGCTGAGCTGCCAGCTCGTTCTGGGCTCCCGGAAGGTAAGAAGCTTTGAGGTGGATCGAGTGCTTTATGCAGAACTCCCACAAGCAAATGGCTCCTGACACAGGGGGGAGAAGAGCGGGCCGCTCTCTGCCTGTTGATGTAAAACATGGCTGCCATTGTCTGTAAGAACTCGCACCACCTTGCTTGCGATGGTGGGTAACAACACCTGACATGCTAGGCCGACTGCCCTGAGCTCTCTGACATTTATCCGTAGCAAGAGTTCCTGCTGGGACTACTGACCTTGTGTCGTGAGGTGCCTGAGATGGGCAGGCACTGTGAGCACCGAGTCCAAATGATGGCTGTTTGGCCAGTACACTGAGGCCAGCCAAGCCCGAAGGGATCTGAGGTGCAACCTCGCATACCACTCCACATATATGCACATGACCATGTGACCCAACAGCCTGAGTGGGCCTTGACCTGTGGTGACACTGATTGGAAGTGGGCTTCTGGGAGGAAGGCCCTGGCCTGGGTAGAATTGAGCAACGCTCCGATAAACTCTATCCTCTGAGCCGGGAGGCGTGTTGGCTTCTGTTCGTTTAGCAGCAGGCCCAATGCTCGAAAGGTTGTTTGGACGAGGTGGTTGCTGGCTTTCACCTGGGATTGGACTGGCCATTGACCAGCCAGTCACTGAGGTACAGATACAAATGCACCCCTCACCTTCTCAGGAAGGGCTGAAACTATTACCAGGCATTTCATAAAGACCCATTTGGCTGCTGACAGGCTGAACGGGAGGATGGTAAACTGGCAATGAGTCTGGTTCACAACGATCCCGAGAAACCTTCTGTGGTCTTGGAATATAGGTGTGTGGAAATAGGCATCTTTCAAATCGAGGGCGGCGTCCCAGTCCCCTGCATCCAGGGAAGGAATGATGGAGGCCAGGGAGACCATGCGGAAGTTCAACCTTTTGAAGTAACAGTTGAGGCATTGCAGGTCTAGAACGGGTCGGAGACGCCCTTTGGCCTTCGGGATTAGGAAATAACGGGAGTAAAACCCTTTCCCTCTTAAGTTCCAAGGCACTTCCTCCAGGGCTCCTGCACAGAGAAGGGCTCGCACCTCCTGGGCTAAACGTTCTTCATAAGAAGGGTCCCTGAAGAGGGACGGAGTTGGGGGGCAGGAGGGAGGCATGGAAACGAACTGAAGCGTATAACCCTCCTCCACCATACTCAGCACCCAATGGTCTGAGGCAGTGGTCCCCAACCTTTCTGTGGCGAAGAGCACATTCATGTTTTCAGAAGAGTGTGGTGGGCGCCAACAATTTTTCAAGACTTATTTTGTATTTGTACTTTATATAATACGAAAACCATCATATTTAATATGACATAATATATGAATCCATAAGCTAAAAAAGGTAATTTTACATGTAAAAGGTATTAATTAAATTATTCGGCAATTATTCTTTCACCTTACCATGTGAATTTGCTCTTTTTTATTTACCCTTTTTTTTGGGGGGGGGGGGGGGGGGGGTTCGCAGTTCTGGGCAGCGGAGAGGGAAGCCGCGGCCCCGCGCCTGCCGGGGACAGAGATCACCGGCGCCTGCAGCCCTGGAGTTCTCTGTCCCCGGCAGGCGCAGGGCAGCGTGGAGAGAAGCCGCAGCCCCGTGCCTGCCAGGGACAGAGATCACTGGCGCCCGCAGCCCAGCCTGCCAGGGACCGAGAACTCCGGGGCTGTGGGTGCCGGTGTTCTCTGTCCCCGGCAGGCCCGGGGCTGCGGCTTCTCTCTGCGCTGCCCCGGCCTGCCGGGGACAGAGAACACTGGCGCCCACAGCCCCGGTGTTCTCTGTCCCCGGCAGGCGCGGGGCTGCGGCTTCTCTCTGCGCTGCCCCGGCCTGCCGGGGCAGAGAACACTGGCGCCCGCAGCCCCGGAGTTCTCTGTCCCCGGCAGGCCCAGACAGCGGCTTCTCTCCCCTTCTGGGCACTAGTTGGTGGGCGGGCACACATAAATGCCCCGGCGGGCGCAATGGCGCCTGCGGGCACCGCGTTGGGGACCACTGGTCTGAGGTGATAACGGACCTGCTGAGCTGAAGCGGGAGAGATGGTCCAAAAACAAAAGAGGAGCAGGATCCGGTATGGGAACTGGTATAATGCCCTTGAGTGCCCCACCGGGCTCTGTCCCCTCCCTCAATCCCCAACACACATCCCGGTGTCCCTTATCCCTGTTTACATGAACCACGTCTTGACCCTCCTCCCCCCCGATGTCCCTGCATCCCTAGGTCGTGGCCTGTCCTTCACTCACCCTCGGTCTGGTTGTAGAGCTGACTCAGGGTGTTCAGACTTGCGTTGTACCATTTCTGGTAGCGCTGTGCCCACCAGGTCATCTCGTCCCAGAACTCCAGACCCTCTTTCTGCGCCATCCACACTAGGCCGGGCTTCGCCTGCTGCGTCTCGCTGGTGTAGACGTAGTTGACCTGATCGTCCACGTACACAACACGTCTGTACCAGGGCAGCCCCGGGCCAGGCTCCGACACCACTGTGTCCAAAACGCGCCTGGAGTGCAGACCTGAGGGGGGGTAGATTGGAGGAGGGGGGAGTCAGACCCAACCGGACCCTGCCAGGAGCCCCTGGCAATATGCGAGAGGCGGCGCCATCCCTTAGGAGCACTCCTGTGGGAGAGAGACCTGGGAAAGGGCTCACAGAACGGCCTGATGGGGAGAAAGAGACGGTGGGGTAGAAGGAGAAAGGGAGGCAGGACTGGAGGGGGAGTGAGAAGGGGAAGGGGTTGGGGAGGTACTGGGGGGCTGGAGCATGTGAGGAGGAGGGGAGCATATGGGGACAGTGTATTGGGGGTACAGGGGAGTGTGAGGCAGGAGAGGGGGCCCAGGAGGAGGGCCAGGGCTGGAGGGCCATGTGGGGAAAAGAAAAGGGGTGTTATGGGAGAGGGTGGGGCAGGAGGATTGCAGGAGAGGAGATGCAGGAGCTCAAGCTGGGGAAGGCAAGGTGGGCAGGGGGATGTGTCCAAGCTACAGGTAGGAGCCAGGACACCGGCTGTGCACAGAATTTACTATAATTTATTCAGAATATAAGAATGGACAGACTGGGTCAGACCAAAGGTCCATCTAGCCCAGTCTCCTGTCTTCCGACAGTGGATAATGCCTGGTGCCCCAGAGGGAATGAACAGAACAGGGAATCATCAAGTGATCCATCCGCTGTCGCTCACTCCCAGCTTCTGGCAAACAGAGGTTAGGGACACCATCCCTGCCTATCCTGGCTAATAACCATTGATGGACCTATCCTCCATGAATTTATCTAGTTCTTTTTTGAATCGTGTTATAGTCTTGACCTTCGCAAGATCCTCTGGCAAGGAGTTCCACTGGTTGACTGTGTGTTGTGTGAAGAAATACTTCCTTTTGTTTGTTTTAGACCTGCTGCCTATTAATTTATTTGGGTGACCCCTAATTCTTGTGTTATGTGAAGGGGTAAATAACACTTCGGTATTCACTTTCTCCATACCAGTCTTGATTAAGACTATGATTTTGTCATGGATGTTTGTAGTATAAGACCTGGACAGGTCCTGGGCAACGAAGAAAAGCTCACGGAAGCCCATGACCCATCCGTGACTTTTACTAAAAATATCCATGGCAAAATGGGGAGCTCAGCTGCGTGACCCACACATCATCCAGAAGGGTAGGCAACCGCAGGCCACTCAAAGCTCCGGGTCCCCCTGCCGCCCACAGTAACTGGGAGCAGTTGGTTCCCCCACAGCCCACGGAGGCCGCCCCACCACTCCCGGCTGCTACAGGTGGCAGGGAGACCGCACAGCTTCCAGCCACCCCGTGCTGAAGTCATGGAGTTTGCTGGAAGTCACAGATCCCATGACTTCCGCAACCTCTGTGCAAAAAAACCAAAGCCTTAGTCTTGATTGTATAGACTTTCATCATATCCCCCCAGTCATCTCTTTTCCAAGCTGAAAAGTTCCAGTCTTATTAATCTCTCCTCATGTAGCAGCTATTCCATACCCCTAATCATTTTTGTTCCCCTTTTCTGTACTTTTTCCAATTCCAATATTTCTTTTTTCCAATAGAATGACTACATCTGCATGCAGTATTCAAGATGTGGGCATACCATGGATTTATATAGAGGCAATATGATATTTTCTGTTTTACTATCAATCCCTTTCCTTATGATTCTCAACATTCTGTTAACTTGTTTGTTGCCACTGCACATTGAAAAAACAAGGAGTCCTATGGCACCTTAAAGACAAATGCATTTATTTGAGCATAAGCTTTCGTGTATGCATCTGACGAAGTGGGTTCCAGCCCACAAAAGCTTATGCCCAAATAAATTTGTTAGTCTTTAAGGTGCTACAGGACTCCTCGTTGTTTTTGCTGAAACAAACTAACACGGCTACCCCTCTGAAACTGCACATTGAGTGCATGTTTTCAGAGATCTATAACGACTCCAAGATCTCTCTTGAGTAGTAACAGCTAATTTAGACCCCATCACTTTATATGTATAGCTGGGATTATGTTCTCCAATGTGCATTACTTTGCATTTATCCACACTGAATTTCACCTACCATTTTGTTGCCCAGTCACCCAGTTTTGTAAGATCATAGAAGATTAGAGTTGGAAGAGACCTCAGGAGGTCATCTAGTCCAACACCCTGCTCAAAGAAGGACCAAACCCAACTAAATCATCCCAGCCAGGGCTTTGTCAAGATGGGCCTTAAAAATCTCCAGGCATGGTGATTCCACCACCTCCCTAGGTAACCCATTACAGTGCTTCACCACCCTCCTAGTGAAATACTGTTTCCTAATATCCAACCTAGACCTCCCCCACCGCATCATAGAATCTCAGGGTTGGAAGGGACCTCAGGAGGTATCTAGTCCAACCCCCTGCTCAAAGCAGGACCAACCCCAACTAAATCATCCCAGCCAGGGCTTTGTCAAACCTGACCTTAAAAACCTCTAAGGAAGGAGATTCCACCACCTCCCTAGGTAACCCATTCCAGTTCTTCACCACCCTATTAGTGAAAAAGTTTTTCCTAATATCCAACCTATAAACAATCCCAGTTCCCTCAGCCTCTCCTCATAAGTCATGTGCTCCAGCCCCCTAATCATTTTTGTTGCCCTCTGCTGGACTCTTTCCAATTCATCCACATCCTTCTTGTAGTGTGGGGCCCAAACCTGGACACAGTACTCCAAATGAGGCCTCACCAGGGCCAAATAGAGGGGAATGATCACGTCCCTCGATCTGCTGGAAATGCCCCTACTTATACAACCCAAAATGCCGTTAGCCTTCTTGGCAACAAGGGCACACTGTTGACTCATATCCAGCTTTTCGTCCACTGTAACCCCAGGTCCTTTTCTACAGAACTGCTGCCCAGCTATTCAGTCCCTAGTCTGTAGCAGTGCATGGGATTCTTCCGTCCTAAGTGCAGGACTCTGCGTGAAGAACCTTCTGGGAGCCATTAAAGGCTGGAGAGATCCAAGAAGCCTTTTCCCTTCATTTAAGCCTGGTCTATGGGGTGTGTGTGGGGGCTAATTTACTCTCTCTCACTAACCATCAGCAAAACAGAAATCCTGTCTGAAAGCCCCATCCTGCCCTGAGATGCTGGGAATGAAACAGCCTGGGCAGCGCCTGTAACCGGCAATTTCCCCACAGTCTGAGCATCTCAGGGGGCTGTGACGGGCTTGTCAGCGTGTGCAGCACCCAGGGCCGGCTCCAGGGTTTTGGCCGCCCCAAGCAGCCAAAACAAAACAAAAAAGCCGCGATCGCGATCTGCGGCGGCAATTCGGCGGGAGGTCCTTGGCTCCCAGGCGGAGTGAGGACCGTCCGCCGAATTGCCGCCGAATACCTGGACGTGCCGCCCCTCTCCAGAGCGGCCGCCCCAAGCACCTGCTTGAGAAGCTGGTGCCTGGAGCTGGCCCTGGCAGCACCCACGGGTGCAGGCCCCAACGAAGCCGCACCCCCTGGCTCGGTGAGGTTGGCATTAGATTAAAGGGTTACAGTTCAGTGGCTCTCAGCCCCCCAGCTCCCTCCTCCCTGCGCCCTCCAGCC